CACGTGAGACGTGAGCGTTTGTTATAGAGCAACTCTTGAAATTAAGTGTATCGTAAGTTGTATTCGGAAAGAATAAACCAGTTTTATTTAACAAAGGACTTGTGTCGCTAAAGTTTCGTCGGAACGAATTTACGGAAAATTAACTAACGAACGGAGACGTAACACCCCTACATGCACAACAAAAACTGCATCATTGCTAGCCCCCTTTATTATATCTCTTGCTTTCTCACTTATATCCTCCACATGTGCCCCTTAATCTAATTCTTTTCTCCTTATTTATCCACAGACTATCCTATATTTCCATATATCTTGTCAAGGAATTACCTATAACTAGAACCTCCTTAACTTAAGTTTATCAACCAAATCCTTCTATGAAGATCCTTTTGTTTTCCTTCCCTCCAATATTTCCTCATAATCATATGCGCAAGCCAAGAGCTGAAATCTGTTGCTCAACAGAATAGGCTTATTACAATTAATTCCACTACTTTAGCCTTAATATTGGTAATAGTACTCTAACTTCCTAAAAGTTATTGTTAATTGATGTATCTCTTGCATGTAAAAGCTTAAGATCCTCTTGCATTTGTTGAAATCCTGCTGCCATTTCCCACAATTTACACTTCTCTTCATAGTTTATATATTGCCTCCAACCTACAAATTGCACATGTTCATTAGTATTAGCTTCCTTAAAAGTACATACCAGTCCTGAGTTTCCAAATAAAACTAGTTCATTCACTGACTGCTTAACTCCTACACTACTCTTAACCACTGTCTTTGTAACCTGGAAATAAATACTAAATACCAGTAGTCTAATGCCAACACTGTTAGGCCTAACTTCCGATCAGAAAAGGAAGTGGATTTTAGGAACTATGTACACACTTGGAAGGAACAGTGGGGTGTTATTTTATATTCTAGCTTGTCAGTATCGGTATTTTAAGTTCCTAATTCGTAAGAAACTATAAACTTTGTATTTGGACATCATACACATCTAATTTGAACTAATGCTGCATTCAACATACCATGTGACAAACACAAATATTTAGGTGTGTTCTTATAATATTTACTTTTAAAATAAGAAATTAACTAATGTATAATACTAAAATTTGAATTATAGTTTACAATTTCATACCAAACTTATTGACATAAATTCTTAAAATAGTAGTTCAATAAAATTTTGAATGTAAGTCGACAAACGCGATGACATGGCCAACTGAGAACTATTTCCCCCATTTCCATCACTGCTTCCTATACGATATCATACCTCTATTCACAAAAAGCTTTCTCGACTTATACTGTCCTCTGTTGGTGCACATTTTCGATAGCCACTAACATTGATACTTTCACTCATTTCTGCACACTAACATGCAAATAATTATGCAGAAACCTTCTATCAATAGGAGTGCAAAATTACCCCTATCGTAATTAGTGCCCTCTCTAATCTTGCAGCTGTTAACTACTTCTTGATTGGCAGTCCTATTGAATAGACGTGTTTTCGCTCGCATTTTGATTCACTTATCCACAAGCTTTTACTTTCTTAATTTTTCTACTTTAAAGTTAATTACGTTGTTCTTAACCATTTTAGTTCTCTTTTGTGGAAAGTTACGAATTATTTTGTTTATCTTCTCCCCTCTTTCAATTTCGTGAGTAATGGACTTGCAGTTTCAAGTGCTTATAACTACAACTGCTGCAGCAGAATTACTGACCACATACAATGGGCCAGAACCACGATTCTCGGCCCATGAAGTGACGACTCTAGTCCATCAAGAATTTACCAATTTCATGCAACAAAGTTATGATTGTTCTATCACGATTTTCAATGATTTGGAAGTTTGGGATTTGGACAGCCTCCCCCCCCCCTCCTGAACATGTGTACCAGTTGCATGTCATTTTGAAGGGACTTGTAAAGACCTTTCCTTTTGGTGAATTGGATTATTCAGGTATGTTATGATCTGTCCTAAACTCCCATTTCTTATGTTTCATCCCTGCTCTTCTCGGGGACTAGACTTTGGGTCATTATTTTAATGTTTCCTCCTCTGGATATTGAGATTTGTGCAAGTTGTTTTGGGGAGCATTTGCATTTGGGGGTTGGTATGCCTCGAATCCCACGTACTGTGGACGATCATGCTTATGATTATCATTGTTTCAACTTCCCTTATTTGGACTCACAGCATTTGGTGTCTCTTATCCCGTATTTATCTTACTCTGGTGGGGCCAAAATATTTCAATTTGCCCATGTTTGGAGACCCTTGACAGTCGTTCTATGGGTTCTGAAAGTCGTTTCAGTAAGTCTGGTCTTCTACTTCCATTCATCTCCCCTGTTGTCTCACAATCCCGTTTTCTTCCCTCCTTCTCAGGTTTCTGTTTTTTTTTGCCCACCTGATTCATTCCAGGGGCCTTTGTTTTCACCTTTCTATGGATGTATGGCTGCCTCTTGCCTCCTCACAAGACGAATCAATTCTACATCCTCAGTTTTTCTCCAGGACACTGTCATGGTGGGTTGACTTGTCAAAGTGGAGCAAATTGTTTCTCACACCCACATAATGTTTTGTTCATCTTGGAGTATTTTTCCACTGCCTTCTCTGTTGGGCCATACCTGCTCCACATCAGTTGCGAGCTGTGGAAAGTTGTATGCAGCATCTCATCCTCTCCTTTTCCTACTGTGTAAGAAGCTCTCTTTTTTTTAAAAAACATGGGCTTCTCTCAAAGCCCTCATTCATCTTGTTGCACCCTCATGAATCATAATCAGTGGGTTTTGATAGATCAATGGAACTTTGTTTGGGATCCCTTAGATGCCCCTCTTACCCTCTCCCTCCCTTACAGACCAACTTCGACTGGTGGTTGGATTGGAACAATACTACTACTGTGAGTGTTCCTCTTCCTCCTCCTTGTCTGGAATGTCACCTTTTATAGATGCTTCTTTTTCCAGTTTTTTTTTTTGGGGGGGGGGGGTTGGGCTGATGGTCTCTTTCTGAGTCCTCTCTCTATATCAATCTTGGAACTTTTTGCTGTTTGTCAGACTTTCCATTCACTTCCTTTGAGCTCCTAGGTGCCAGTTGGTAATGGTAGTCTCATACATCACTGGACAAGAGACATTCGATTGACATACCTCTGTTTTCTCACATTAGATCTTCTGTGTTGGGCCCACTGCCTTCCCATCACTTTATTGGCATGTCATAATCCAGGTGCCCTGAATCTGGTCGATGACCAGTTATCCCATCGTGAGAATATTCTTCCTGTGGTTTGGTCTTTGTATCTACCAATTTTTCGGGTTTTGTTGGCTCTGTGGAGGATCCCAGATTTAGATGTTTTTGCCACTCTTCTCAATACACCACTTCCCCGATTTTGGTCTCCTGTTCCTCATCCTCTGGTGGGAGCACTCGATTCTCTCAGTCTGAATTGGTTGGGTTGGTACCAATATGCATATCTTCCTATTCATATCCCACGTGTTCTTACCATACTTCAGACCACTCCATGTGGTGTTATGCTGCTGGTTACATATTGTCTGACTCAAATGGGAGTTTCATTGTTATACCAGTTTTTTTGGTATTGCTTTCTTTTCTATTCCTTTATTTTTGACACTCCTCCATCAGCCATACTTTAGCATGTGTCATCCATTTGTACCTGCACTCTATTTTCATGCGTGGCTTTGTATGGTCCGTTGCTTGAAGGGCTGAATTTTCACGTGTAGCTTCCTTCATTTTCCATTCTGTCTTCTTGGCAGTTTACTTGCATGCATCATACACTTACCACTTTTGGTCTGTTCTAAGGGGTTATATTCCTTCTCATCCTATGGTTCCTTCACATACCACCCTTTGTGCCTTGGCTTCTTGAACTGGGCCTTTTGGTTTCCATCTGTTGTGGGCTATAGGTGGAATCATCTGCCACTTTTCAGTTTACAGACTTTGCTTTTATTTTACAGTTGATAGTCTTATCCATATTGTTTTGTTCTATTTTTCCATCGTCCCCACCTTGCTTCCCTTCTAGAATAGCACCTTTTTGTGGCCTTCCATGTTTTTTCCACGTCTCTATTGGACCTTTTGTCTTTATGTTCTTTAACTCACTTTCCTGATCGTTTCTTTATTTCCAAGATTTTGGCTGCTCAAGAGAGTACTTCTCCCTTAACACCTTTTTCCCTGCCCTCCTTTTCCCACCATTATGACCATTCCAATCCTGCCTGTCTTCTTTGTCTGGTCAGGGCTCTTCAATAGTATATGACACATTGTACTGCTTTCTTCCATGGTTCCTAAGTCCGTTTGTTTCTTCTGTGAAATATTCACCTCTCTTGTGACCTTTTCCCCTTTCTCTTCCCAGTTAATTCACCTGGCATTTTTCTTTCCTTTCTCCTGATGATTGTCGCCTTTTTCATGTTTTCTTCCTTTCAGGTCCGTCACCTTACAATGTCCCTGGCTGCACATTTCCATCTTGCTTTGGGAGACATGATCAATGCTGTAACTGTTTATCTGTGGGTGGTAAATACTCCATTCATTTTTTGTTCTCTTTGCAGGGCCTTTATCGCATATTTGGATCCCACTCTGTGGCAAGTGTTTTCTGACCAGGTATACTTAGTCTTAAGTCTGCACTGTATGACCTGAGATCATATACAATGCTAGGTGACTGTGACATTGTGGCTCTTCATACCGTGGACCCGATGTACAATTCCAGATGCTGCCAGGTGTTGGTTGATCAATTCCATTGAGGTGTCCTCTATGCATGAAAATACAATATCGTAACATGTCATAAGGTCGTGTTAAACGAGTACAAAAAGGTCACGTGGTTGGTCAAATTGACTAAGTCGATATTGAGAGAGTTAAACACACTGTAGAGATGAGGTGTTCCACAGGACTGGTCGTAAGTATACCTTGTGGTATATTTCTTCATAAATATGTTCATCCTAGGGTGTACAGGGATTACTTCCTATCTCTGATGATCTGTGGCACTGAGGCTCTTCCTGCCACAGTCTCGATGTACAATTCCGGATGTTGCCAGGTGGTGGTTGATTGATTTCGTTGATGTGATCACTCTCTTTTCCAAAATAGGGTATTGTGGTCACCCATTGCACTTTCACTGGTGCTGTGGTCCTCCAGACTCTCCAACACATTTTTCCTTCCTTCCTTCTTCAAGTGGAATATGTGAGTCCTTGCCACTTACCAGTTCCTAGTTGCTGGGATGGTGGACCTTGGAGGCCTGTCCTCCTGAGTGTGCACAATACTACTCAGTTGAGAGTAGGGTGGTGACATTCTGCTGGTGTAGATGGCATGACAAATTCCCAATGCTGCCAGGTTTTGGACTGGAGATGCAACCATAAATGGTGGTCCCTCTTTCTACTTACTTCTGGATGTTAGTTCCTAGTGAATCTGGTGTTGGTTGTAGTTGACAAGACAGATTAATTCCCGCATGTATAAGGTTGGTGGGTACCCTCCTCATACAATGGACTGAACGAAAAATTCCCAATGCCACCAGGTTTTGGACTGGAGAGAAACACTTACCTGGGCTCTTCACCTTCCTACCATCTGCCAGATGTCAGTTCCCAGTGTATCTGCTGTTGGTTGTGTTCGAGATGCACACATTCAGGGCAGGTTCTTGGTATGTAAGCTCCTCTTCGCTGCCTATACCCGTTTTTGAGGTGAAAGGCAGAGGACTCTCTTCCTACCATGGACCTGATGTGCAAATCCAGATATTGCCAGGTGTTAGTTGAGGTCGAACTCCCATTTATGGTGTGTCACACCCTAGCCACTCTACACCAGGAGGTTGCATTATTTCTGTATTTTTCTTCGGGTACCTCTATGTTTCTTCCCTTTTTGACAACACATTACTAAAAGGTGAAAAGTATACCTAGCTAAAAAGTGGTGCAATCTCCCATGGGTGTGTTGTTTTTAATTTCTTCTCATACCC